TCTTTTTGAAGTTCTTCTTTAAGTGTGAGTACTGCATCACTGGCCATCTCACCAACCACCCGTTTGTTACGACGAAGTCGTCTTTCTGTTAAAATATCGTAGTCTTCTGATTTTTTTGTAGCAATATCTATTGCCTCTTCCACAATGTGACCCCGTTTTTCTTCGATATGTAGACGAAGTGCCTCTATTTTTGTAGCAGTTTCGTCAACAGTTAAGCCTTTACTTTGCCATGCAATCTGTGCAATTCTTCTTTGCTGGTATATTGTCCTTAAAGTTGACTCACCGGTTGGGTGTCAGCCCAAAAAGGGTGACACACGGTGCGGACCACACCGTAGACCATTTACTTGTTTATCAATATCCCGAAAATTCTTTCCTTGATGAAATAATTTTATGACAGAACGCTGATTGCACCGTTTGCTGCTTTTCCACGCGACATTTTAAACAAAATTGATCCACAGGAATGATTCTTAAATCAAAACGACAAATTGCAAACACTTTTTTGCTTTTATGACCTGCTATTATTTTCTTTTTAATATCGTGTCCGAACATTTATGTGTCACCAAAATGCTGCGTTGTTATCAATATTAGTTTTATTTTATATCTCAATATCATATTACTTGAAAACAGTTTTGCTAATGTGACGTGCAAACAATTCATTTCATCGTCTTATGAAAGAAAAACATTCAATTTTTAAGCTTACAAAAATTAACAAACTTTTAGATAAAATTATGTCCGTACATTTTTGTGTTATGGCTCGTACAAGCAGGTCACCTTAGGTGTTCAGCAGAGACAATATGATCCCCGTTTCTAACAAGATAATGTGCCACCACATACAGGCAAAACTACGTTGTTCCATTCTAAAGACGATCAAGTAGATTTGTTGCCTTGTCCCATAGATCTTTCGATAAAAGACCTATTGAAGACGTCTGGAAGATTATCGGAAGAATATTAATCCGTTTACCTATCCTCCACAATTTCTAACGGAACTTCGGCACGAGGTACAAATCGCCTGGGATGAGATACCTCAAGAGAAAATCGATCATCTGGTTAGGAGTATGCCCATACGAGTTGTTGAGTGCATCGCTAGACATCGCGGAGGCTCAACAAATCATCAGTTTTTTATATTTGTTCAATTACTTGCCTAACTCTAAGAAACATGTATACAAAACGTTGTAGTAATACATTCATTCAAAATTATTGGAAAAAGCTATGTACATTCAAATAAATGACTATATTGTAGAACATGGGATTCTACCGGAAAAACAGTGTGGATTTCGAGAAGGCCATAGTACGGCAAGTGCCCTCCTCGATCTTACTTATCGTCAGAGCGTTCGATTACCATTCAGTTACACCATGAGTTCTCTTGGACTTTACAAACCCGTTTGATACGAGTACAATAAATCACCCAAAACGTAGTCGTTGATTCAGAATTTCCTACAGAACGTTTGATTTCCTCAAGACTGCCGCAAGGATCAGTACTTGGACCACTTCTCTTTATTTTATATATAGCAGATACAAACAGGGTTGTAAAATTTTGTAGTATTCAGTTTTTTGCTGACGACTCACATCTGTATCATAGCTTCAATCATGAAAATTTAGAAATTTCGGAAGCACATAGAGGATCTAGATTCTATTGAAAATTATGCAACAGAACATAGTCTCTGGATGAATCCTTCTAAATTCAAAGCTATTATTCTTTATCTTAGAAATCTAAGGTCCTTGCTAAAAACAACTTGTACATTACTCTAAACGGCCATGCTATTTAAATAGAAGAATCAGTTAAAAACTTAGGTTTGTTCATAGATGATAATCTCAAATTTATTTCTCATGTAAATCATGTAACTAAAAATTGTTTTACTGTTTTACGGCATCTGTACCTTACATAAAGAAATATTTGATTTTGGATAAAAAAAAATTGTATCTGAATCTTTAATTCAGTACACTCTCCATTTTTAGATTCATTTTCAGCTAAATGTCTACAAAAAATACAAAATTCATGTTGTAGATTGATTTTCAACAACAAATATGTTAATGCATGTTTCGAACATTTGAACTGGTTGAATGTGGCAAAATTGTATAAGCTTCATTTATTATGCTATGTTCACAAACTCTTACATACTTCTACTCTTTCATTTTCGAAAAATAAATTAATATCTCGTGAATATATCCATTCAAGAAACACTCGATTCACTGACACTTTAACCATGCCTCTTCACAAAATTTCTTTATTTCATAATTGCTTTACCTATAATGCCATCAATCTACATAAAGCATTACCATCGGCTGTTAAACATCTCGATTTCAATAATTTCAAAAAGCAAATTAAACAAATTATCTTTGCTATTCAAATCTGAAACCCCCAGTATATAGTTCAGCCATATTTCTGCATATTATATAAATTGTTTATATATTTTTCTTTGATTTGAACACTCTTGTTCACGTTCTAATCAATATGTAATTTTTGTCTAAATTTTGGAAGGATATTTTGTTAAAATTGTTTTCAAGATTCTAGTGCTAGTTATTTTCAAGAGTTAAGTGGCAGCTAAACTTCGCCTGAATAAAAGTCGTATATTATTATTGTTTTTATTAGTATTACTATTATTACTATACTAAGTGAAATATCAATCCGAACACCCAGTTTAAATGGTTTTATTTTAATAAAAGTTGGTGAATGTATTTATCTTACTGTAAATAACAAGTGAAAACACTTTCAGCCTTATCAGTTGGACATTCCGGTTTTTATACTGCTTTTTTTAATTCACTAACGATCTAAAAATGAATATTTCAGCCTCAGTAAAGAATCAACGTTGGCGGATTTTTGCTCCTGACATCCTTTACGATCGGTTACGATGCCTAGAGTACGAAGACCTGTACGATTTCGTCAACTTAGTGAGTTTGATAGGGGCCGTATAGTGGGACTTCGGGAAGCTACACTTTCTTTTCGGGCAATTGCAGTTAGAGTGCAAAGAAGTGTAGACACTGTGGTTAGGTGTTGTCAGGCATGGCTTCGAAAAGGCCGTACGCAAAGAGCAAGGGGCACTGGACGCCGCCGTAGAACAACAGACCGTGAAGATCGCCGCCTAAGATTATTGGCCTTAAGGGACCGTTTCTCCACTACCAGGTCTATTGCAAATGAATGGTTTGCAGAACACGGAAGACCTATTGGCATGCGAAGTGTTTACCGACGAATGAGAAGTTTTGGCTTGTTTTCATACCGGCCACACTGGGTTCTCCCTTTAACTCGAGAACACCGACGTAATCGCCTTGAATGGTGCAGACAACGGTCACTCTGGGATCAGGAATGGAACAGTATTGTCTTTAGTGACGAGTCTCGATTTTGTTTAGGCATGCACGATGGTCGTGCCAGGGTTCGAAGGCGACGTGGTGGAAGGAGGAATCCACAGTTTTTTGTTGAAAGACACTGATGGAGTTATGGTTTGGGGTGCTATAGCTTATGGTTCCAGGTCACCTTTAATCTTCATCAGAGGTAATATGAACGCGCAGCGTTATATCCACGAAGTTCTAGAACCCCATCTTTTACCCTATCTTGACACCCTGGCAAATCCAACTTTCCAACAAGATTATGCCCGACCACATGTTGCAAGAGTCACAATAGACTTCTTTCAACATAATGATGTCACATTGTTACCATGGCCACCAAGATCTCCCGACTTATCCCCAATTGAGCACGTGTGGGATATGATGGGTAGGAGATTGCTCAATTTGCAACGTCCTCCTCAGACTCTAGAAGCACTTCGAGAGGAGTTGGTGGTTGCCTGGAATGAGCTACCACAGGAGGACATTGACTACCTGATCAGAAGCATGCCTAGGCGCGTTGGAGAATGCGTAGCACATCAGGGTGCATCCACACATTATTAACGGTCAAAGGGCTTTGAAGCAGTGCAATCATTTTGAAATTTTTATCATTTACTTATTATGCTTCATTAAGTACTTATACAAAATTTTATTAAAATAAAACCATTTAAACTGGGTGTTCGGATTTATATGTCACTTAGTATATTATTATTAATTAGTGTTCTTTTTTCTATGTGACTTAATATATAAACTTGGCTTGTCTTCTTCTATCTTTTTGTATTCAAAGCTAGACTGACAATTTGTAAATGTGTAAAAATTATTCTGTTAGAACTTTCAAGAGAGACTCAAAACAATTGGTTTTTGTGGTCTCCTGTACATGTATAGTACAACTGTTTCCAATTATTATAGTTACTTAGATACTAGGAAGATTCTGGTATTTAAAATGAGTTAACAGTACCTGACAGGATAGGACTGGAAGTCATCATCAAAAGACTTATACAACGCTGCAAACTTCACCCAACTATCCAAATCTCATCGCTACTACAGCGTTACACTACCTGCACCTACACCGAAAAATGTGTTATGACTACCTAAAGGTTATGTAATTCTATAAAGTTTTTCGTTTCTTATCAGACAGCGTCAGGTGTAGCTGCGTAGATTAAATAATGTTGAATTCATGAATGGTTATTTGTAAATATCACAGTGGTACCTGATAAGCGTTCGAGTTGTACCCAGATCTTTGTTTACTTACTCAAAAATAAAGCACGCATAGAAATAGATATGATTTACAAATAAGGAGCGGTAAGAATGATTGCGACAATAAAATTTTCGATTTCTAACTCGACAGTATCCATCATGACGAAATTCAGCAAGCGCTGCCATGGTGAGATTCACAGCAGCCACGTTGAGCTTTTAAAAAACCTTATACTTCGGGCGGAAGACGGTCATGTGGTGACGCTTCCAAAGCTTTATTGCTATAAAATATTTCCCATTATATTAAACCAACATAAAAATGTTATTAAAACGTGAGCAAATATGCCGCCTTTGTCATTTCGTTCTTTCAGTAATTCTTTTCGCGAAGAAGAAATAAAAAATTGGAGCCGCCTTAAGCTTTGTTAAGTGAGCTTTTAAGCAAGACAATTTTGAAGCCACTACATGGAAATAAGATATGTGAGGGTATTTACCATGATATTTGTGAATTCCAAGACACTTTGTATTCTTTAGGCACCACATGTAGACGCAAAACTAACCCATACCGAATGGTACCATTGATCGCGTACCACCTCCGTATCATTTGGTTGTACCACCTTCAGAGATGTGTGTACACTCTTGGAAATTGAAAGTGTCGCTACTCAGGGACCAAAGATCATAATACTAACGACGCCGAACAGTAAAGGGACGTTTCAGCATCTTAGAAAAATCACACCCGTTTTCTTCTCATCATTTTATAAAAGCTACTTAACCGATAGAAAGCAATGTGTGAAAATCAGAGATCAAGTAAGCGAAGAACGTGATATCAATTATGGTGTGCCACAGGGTACTGTTTTAGGACCTGTCCCATTCATAGTATATGTCACTTTGAACTTATGAGGCAAAATAACGAGTAATTTTACAAATAAACATTATTATTATTTTCATTTAGCTATATTTTTCATAGCCTATAGTTGCTGCTTTACCTGATCAATGACACTTTCAAACTCCATGTCAAGACCTTTTTTCTTAGAGGGATCAAATTAACTCATGATGAAGTAATATTAGACTAAAAGTTGAATCCACTGATACTCTACAATAAAACTCAAAAAAATATTAACAATTATGTATATTGAGTATAGCATGGTTAAAATAATCTTTACATCTAAAAACCAAATTTATTCTTAAAATAATTTGCTGCAACTAACAAATTCAACAATTGATATATACCTGGAGATATCCAATCATGTTACAACGCCCAAAATGTTTATGGCTACGAGGATACTAGGGCCATCTATGAAATAGTAAAAGAACACAAAAGTCAGCTTAAGAGTCTACTTTGAAAAGCATTAGAGTGGCTACTGTCTCATAGATGGCGTTAGGATCTTATGTCTGTTTTTGATGCTTTTCTAATGACTATTCTATTTGTGTATCTTCAGGCATTGATTAACGTAGTCCATCTGAACATACGAAATTAAAATAATCATTACTTACACTGGTGAACACAAAATCTTGTCGTTGCCGCCTAATCTCTCAGCGTCACACTGTTCGAGCTTTCCAGATTAGCATGGCTAACGTTGCCAGATGGTCAAAACTTTCAGTAAGCGCAGGGAAGAAATTTCTAGATCGCAGACTTATCAAATGGGTGGGGACAATTATACAGGGTGTTTCAGTTTATTGTTGCATAACTTTAAGATTCGATAGAACCTTTAAAATTAATGCATAAAGTCTATATAAACATGGGTCGAAAAATGCGTGGTTTCCGAAATACAGGGTGTTTAGATTTACTTTCTAAAATAGTATTTTTTTAATATTTCGAACAATATTTGATGTATAACAGTGGAAATTGGTATACATGGGTAGTTTTACTGTAGCCGCTAGAGGGCGCTCTCTACTGTACCTGTAGTGTATCAAAATGACCGAAACACTTTTCTCAGTGCAATTTTTTGCTTTTTGAATAAAAGAAATGATTCTTCACACTTTTCAAAATAAAAAAGCTCTCCTGTGAATTTTTGTTATAGTTAGCCGTTTTTGAGATATTTCGAGTTTAAAGCTTCGATGCATTTTTAATTATTTATGATAAAATAACATTAAAAAGTCAGTATCTCGATAATTTTTAGAAGTAGGCTGTGCCTGCAAATATTTTTGAAATTGAAAGCAGAATAAGGTTAAACGTCAATTAGTTGACAGTTTTGTTGTCTGTTGAAACCTGAAACGTTTTTTTGCAATTGTGAATGCACGCAGTTTTATAAAAATGCCATTTTTATTCTCCAATCAAGAGTTAGCGGATATTCATTTTGTGTAAAGCTTTGTAAATGGAAACGCAGCAGAAGCAGCCAGAGAATACGCACGAAGATTTCCAAAAAGACGACATCCAACTCGCTCAGTATTTGTAAAGTGCCTCGCCAAATAATTGAAAATGGTTTTGGAAATCTCCAAAGGGATCAAAACATAAATGTTCGTCAGCGCAGATTTACCCGTATGATTCTGCGTGAGTTTGATAGAGATCCGACCACAAGGGTTAGGAGAGTTTCTGGTGCCTTGGGAATTTCAGCAAGCCATGTTCACCATGTTCTTAGAAATGACCATAGACGTCCTTACCATTTGCAACCTGTGCAAGGACTACCTCCAGGGGACGGAGAACGAAGAATCACATTTTGTCAGTGGATTCTTGATAGAACTGATAATAATAGGGAGTTTTTAAGTAACGTTTTATGGACCGATGAGTCATGCTTCACTAGACGTGGAGTGGTAAATTTTCATAATCAACATATTTGGTCGCATGCAAATCCGCATGCAGTTCGGGAAAGAAATTTTCAGCATGAATTTAGTGTGAACGTGTGGATTGGTATATACCGTAATCGACTATTTGGACCCTACCTTTTGCCTGCAAGGTTAAATGCTGCGACCTTCTTGGAATTTTTAAAGGCTGAACATGCAAATATGTGGGATGATGTAATGTTAGATTTAAGAAGATTGGCCTGGTTCCAGCTTGATGGTTGTCCAGCTCATTATTCGAGAATAGTTAGAAACTGGCAGGACGAAAATTATCCAGAAAGATGGATAGGCCGTGGAGGACCAGTCGCCTGGCCACCACGATCCCCTGACCTAAATCCATTAGATTTTTTGTGTGGGGATTTCTAAAACAAAAAGTGTACTAGACTCCCGTAACCACAAGAGATATGCTAATAGACAGAATCAGGAATGCATGTGATGAAATAAGGCCTTATTAGAATAATGCTATATCACGTTAGATCATTCGTAGATGTGAATTGTGTATTGAACAATTGGGTTTACATTTCGAGCAACTACTTTAGATTTTGTATGTTTGTCCTAACTATCCAATAGCATTTTAGTTGTAAATAATTAATTTAATTTGTTAAAAATAATATTGGAAAATTAAACAAATTAATATTCTGTCTTTTTGTGTTTATTTGGAGTTAGGAATTATTGCTGTGTTTAAAAACATAATCTAAACGATCATCTTAATTACTTGTAATGCCCAAATCGAAAATGTAAAAAAAATATTATTTTCCCATAAATAATTGAAAATGCATCGAACCTTAAAAATCGAAATATCTCAAAAACGGCTAACTATAACGAAAACTCACAAGAGAGCTTTTTTATGTAGAAAAGTGCGAAGAATCAGTTTTTTTGTTCAAAAAGCAAAAAATTGCACTAAGAAAATTTTGTCGGTCATTTTAATACACTACAGGTACAGTAGAAAGCGCCCTCTAGCGGCTACAGTAAAACTATGCCCATGGTTCTTTTTGTCGTACCAAAAAACCCTTGTATACCAATTTTCACTGTTATACATCAGATATTGTACGAAATATTTAAAAAAAACTATTTTAGAAAGTAAATTTAAACACCCTGTATTTCGGAGGCCACGCATTTTTCGACCCATTTTTATATAGACTTTATGCATTAATTTTAAAAGTTCTATCGAATCTTAAAGTTATGCAACTATAAACTGAAACACCCTGTATAGGCTGGTTTGGCTCACTACACTGTTTTGTATAGCATAAACAGAGTCAGCCTACTTGACGTCGTTTTTATTCAGTTTGTATTCAGCTACTGTATCATAAATGGCGCTAGCGTTTTTCAAATGACTTTTTCAGCGCCGGAATGCAGTGCACAGTTGACACTCTTCAGATAAGAACGTTAGTCAACGATTTAACGTATGATGTACAGAAATATGGCGACCGACACTTTTAGATTCTATGACTGTAGATAGTCAGTTCTGCATAGGCGACTGTTATGGGCATACACCATAGGCCAGCACCGCTATATTTACACCTCCGTATGTTCCAAGTTTGTGTTACCATTTTTTTTAGAACCGTATCTTTCTCTTGAAATAGATTGTCATGAAAGCGATACGTAATGCATTTGTTTTTATATTCTGGGTTATCTTTCGATATGCGACCAGTGGTTTATGACATTTTTTGTGGAATGGGGGGTCATGTGATACTTATTAGCTCCTCACGAGTACGTTCGATGAGTGGTTGTTGAGTTATAAGCCCTTTAATGTTGAAAATGTCCAACTTTGATAGCACGTCAGTTCGCCATCTTGAAAGGCGGTGATTTTATCCGTCAGGGTTATAAAGTATTCATAAGGAGTTTCAGAATAAAGTTCGAAATTCACGCCCAGCCGCCATCTTGAAATTTTCAACTACCTTCTTTACGCTAAAATACGGTATTCATGTATCAATTTCATTACCCAGAATTTCAGCTTGCCGACTTGACCAGTTCGAAAAATAAATAGGGGGGTTTTGGATGCTTATTTCCATGTCATACGGATTGACCATTGAAGCTTTAAAAACAGGTTCAAGATGTTTAAGGCTCTCGCCTTCGAGTTTAAAAACCCATGCAAATTTTGTCACACACATCGATATTCAATCGTACAGCAAGGATAAGAGATATTGACGATACAGTGTTCATAGCTGGAATTGATGTGTTGGACCTAGAATTATATTTATACTTTTCTGGACTCCTAGTTCTCCTAAAAATTGGAAACGGACCCAATTTTTATGTTATGTTTCTTGGCGTCGTGAGCAAATGTCTCTATGGGCACATATATTTAACTAGAACCGATACTCCGATATAACATACTTCGCCCTTTGAAGCATTTTTTCAGGATGCCGAGATACACGAGATTTAAAACATCAGTCATATTAACTATTGATAAACACTCCTTAAAAAAGACTCCCATTATACTGACTTGGAGGGCCTACATTTTGGGACCCGTTAAGTTTCGAAGCCTGTGCCCAAAAAATTCAGCGAAATTAACCGAAACCACGCTTCTACCAGATAGACAAGTATAACCAGTATACTGATTTGGACGGCCTAAATCATGTGTTTCCAAGATTGGAATTACATTACATTAAAAGAAAACTGTTCTATTGAGGCGTGTGGATTGTTTTCAGCCCAAATGTGATTGTTGTGTAAGTTAATAATTGAATTTTCAGAAAAGCAAGATTCGACTTAGAAAACCTGGATTCCTCAACAGTTTACTGTGTAGCCAATCAGAAAAAGGTAGTCTCAGGGCCAACTTCACCAA